TGAACTTGATACGGATCTTCAGCTCTGGGGAAAAGGGATCCAGGGGTCTGTACGGGGGTGGGACGGGGTGGTTACCAACGGATCCACAGCCTCCGCCATTCTAATAGGGCATCAGGCCAGTCAGAGTATTATCAGGCTGGTCAGAGTATTATCAGGCCGGTCAGAGTATTATCAGGCCGGTCAGAGTATTATCAGGCCGGTCAGAGTATTATCAGGCCGGTCAGAGTATTATCAGGCCGGTCAGAGTATTATCAGGCCGGTCAGAGTATTATCAGGCCTGTTAGAGTATTATCAGGCCGGTCAGAGTATTATCAGGCCAGTCAGAGTATTATCAGGCTAGTCAGAGTATTATCAGGCCGGTCAGAGTATTATCAGGCCAGTCAGAGTATTATCAGGCCGGTCAGAGTATTATCAGGCCGGTCAGAGTATTATCAGGCCAGTCAGAGTATTATCAGGCCGGTCAGAGTATTATCAGGCCGGTCAGAGTATGATCAGGCCGGTCAGAGTATGATCAGGGGGGGCCAGTATGAAAAATAAAAAATTAATAATGTATGCACTCACTAACTGTAAGTCGCTCTGGATAAGAGTGTCTGCTAAATGACTAAAATGTAAATGTAAATGTAAATCAGGCCGGTCAGAGTATTATCAGGCCGGTCAGAGTATTATCAGGCCGGTCAGAGTATTATCAGGCCAGTCAGAGTATTATCAGGCCGGTCAGAGTATTATCAGGCCGGTCAGAGTATTATCAGGCCGGTCAGAGTATTATCAGGCCTGTCAGAGTATTATCAGGCCGGTCAGAGTATTATCAGGCCAGTCAGAGTATTATCAGGCTAGTCAGAGTATTATCAGGCCGGTCAGAGTATTATCAGGCCAGTCAGAGTATTATCAGGCCGGTCAGAGTATTATCAGGCCGGTCAGAGTATTATCAGGCCAGTCAGAGTATGATCAGGCCGGTCAGAGTATGATCAGGGGGGGCCAGTATGAAAAATAAAACATTTATAATGTATGCACTCACTAACTGTAAGTCGCTCTGGATAAGAGTGTCTGCTAAATGACTAAAATGTAAATGTAAATGTAAATCAGGCCGGTCAGAGTATTATCAGGCCGGTCAGAGTATTATCAGGCCGGTCAGAGTATTATCAGGCCAGTCAGAGTATTATCAGGCCGGTCAGAGTATTATCAGGCCGGTCAGAGTATTATCAGGCCGGTCAGAGTATTATCAGGCCGGTCAGAGTATGATCAGGGGGGGCCAGTATGAAAAATAAAAAATTAATAATGTATGCACTCACTAACTGTAAGTCGCTCTGGATAAGAGCGTCTGCTAAATGACTAAAATGTAAATGTAAATGTAAATCAGGCCGGTCAGAGTATTATCAGGCGGGTCAGAGTATTATCAGGCGGGTCAGAGTATTATCAGGCCGGTCAGAGTATTATCAGGCCAGTCAGAGTATTATCAGGCCGGTCAGAGTATTATCAGGCCGGTCAGAGTATTATCAGGCCAGTCAGAGTATTATCAGGCCAGTCAGAGTATTATCAGGCGGGTCAGAGTATTATCAGGCCGGTTAGAGTATTATCAGGCCGGTCAGAGTATTATCAGGCCGGTCAGAGTATTATCAGGCCGGTCAGAGTATTATCAGGCCGGTCAGAGTATTCTAAAGATACTGACAGGTTGTCTAAGGATGGAAGATAAAAACCGCCATGTCAATACTGCAATGACATGGTTCTAATACAAGTCTATTAGGAGGGCAGGTCTGGGAGAGATCGAGGCTGGAGGAGAGTCCCTCTGCATAGGAGCATCTACTATGGCAGCCCAATTCTGATCTTTTGCCCAATTATTGTCAAAATATCTGATCTGATTGGTCAAAAGACCAACTAGTGACAAAAGGATCAGGATTGCGCTGCCTGTGTAAACCAGGTGTGTTTGTGTGTATGTTTTACGTCTGTTCGTATCTTTTTACTGTAAGCCAAAATGCCAAAAGACACATTTCCCATTCTGTGTAAACAACGGACAAGTCTATCAGCTAGCATGCTAGTAGATACCCATATACTTCCAGTCATTGCGCTGACGCTAGTTAGCATTGGCTCGTGAAACTACCTCTAACTTCCTTCATACTGGACGCAGAGACATAAAAATGGTATCCACAAGTTCATCTGACTCTGGGGAAGTAGATAAATGTAAATGTCTATAACAGCATTCACTCCCCAGACACCTGTTACAGGCAGAGGGAGACATGTTGTTGTTTATCTCTGTTTATGTCTTACAGAGCCATCATGTTTAACTGTCGCGGTCTCTGGTTACAGGCAGCATCCTGTCACAAGCCTGACCTGGTTGCCACGGCAACACGCTCCACCAATAAACCATGGAAACCAGGAAGAGTTCAAGCCAATCTACAGCCGGCCCCGTGTGATTGACAGATTTACGGGCCATATCATTGGCCAGCTAAATCAAGCTATCTGGAATGGAATAGGAGAGGTTTTTAGTAGCCAGTTCTTTCCGCCTGGTTTTGGCTCTCAAATGAAAATGATTTACAACACTGTTGATAGATTGATTGGTCCGCAGTAAAAAAGGCTCTGATCAAGCACTATTGGTTCTCTCTCTCCGTGTTTAATCTCAGCCTGAAAGCAGCCGTATGCAGAGCAGCAGAAGTTATCTCTGTCTGAAAGCAGCAGTATGCAGAGCAGCAGAAGTTATCTCTGTCTGAAAGCAGCAGTATGCAGAGCAGCAGAAGTTATCTCTGTCTGAAAGCAGCAATATACAGAGCAGCATAAGTTATCTCTGTCTGAAAGCCACATTATGCAGAGCAGCAGAAGTTATCTCTGTCTGAAAGCAGCAGTATGCAGAGCAGCAGAAGTTATCTCTGTCTGAAAGCAGCAATATACAGAGCAGCATAAGTTATCTCTGTCTGAAAGCCACATTATGCAGAGCAGCAGAAGTTATCTCTGTCTGAAAGCAGCAGTATGCAGAGCAGCAGAAGTTATCTCTGTCTGAAAGCAGCAATATACAGAGCAGCAGAAGTTATCTCTGTCTGAAAGCAGCAGTATGCAGAGCAGCAGAAGTTATCTCTGTCTGAAAGCAGCGGTATGCAGAGCAGCAGAAGTTATCTCTGTCTGAAAGCAGCAATATACAGAGCAGCATAAGTTATCTCTGTCTGAAAGCCACATTATGCAGAGCAGCAGAAGTTATCTCTGTCTGAAAGCCACATTATGCAGAGCAGCATAAGTTATCTCTGTCTGAAAGCAGCAATATACAGAGCAGCATAAGTTATCTCTGTCTGAAAGCCACATTATGCAGAGCAGCAGAAGTTATCTCTGTCTGAAAGCAGCATTATGCAGAGCAGCAGAAGTTATCTCTGTCTGAAAGCAGCATTATGCAGAGCAGCAGAAGTTATCTCTGTCTGAAAGCAGCATTATGCAGAGCAGCAGAAGTTATCTCTGTCTGAAAGCAGCATTATGCAGAGCAGCAGAAGTTATCTCTGTCTGAAAGCAGCAATATACAGAGCAGCAGAAGTTATCTCTGTCTGAAAGCAGCATTATGCAGAGCAGCAGAAGTTATCTCTGTCTGAAAGCCACATTATGCAGAGCAGCAGAAGTTATCTCTGTCTGAAAGCAGCATTATGCAGAGCAGCAGAAGTTATCTCTGTCTGAAAGCAGCAATATACAGAGCAGCAGAAGTTATCTCTGTCTGAAAGCAGCATTATGCAGAGCAGCAGAAGTTATCTCTGTCTGAAAGCCACATTATGCAGAGCAGCAGAAGTTATCTCTGTCTGAAAGCCACATTATGCAGAGCAGCAGAAGTTATCTCTGTCTGAAAGCAGCATTATGCAGAGCAGCAGAAGTTATCTCTGTCTGAAAGCAGCATTATGCAGAGCAGCAGAAGTTATCTCTGTCTGAAAGCAGCATTATGCAGAGCAGCAGAAGTTATCTCTGTCTGAAAGCAGCATTATGCAGAGCAGCAGAAGTTATCTCTGTTTGAAAGCAGCATTATGCAGAGCAGCAGAAGTTATCTCTGTCTGAAAGCAGCATTATGCAGAGCAGCAGAAGTTATCTCTGTCTGAAAGCAGCATTATGCAGAGCAGCAGAAGTTATCTCTGTCTGAAAGCAGCATTATGCAGAGCAGCAGAAGTTATCTCTGTCTGAAAGCAGCATTATGCAGAGCAGCAGAAGTTATCTCTGTCTGAAAGCAGCATTATGCAGAGCAGAACATAGAGGTCCACTCACTAGAAGACTATGCTGTGCTCAGTCTGGCAGAAAGACAGCTTTTCTGTTGTAACCTAAAACCCTGCATCCATAGTTTGGTAAACAAGACCGTGCTAGCCTTGGCATCTGAGCTAAAGCCTTGGCATTATTTCTTAACGTCTCTAGGTAAGATTCCTTATCACACACTAGCCTGACTCACCAAACCACCTCCATCACATTATACACTAGCCTGACTCACCAAACCACCTCCATCACATTATACACTAGCCTGACTCACCAAACCACCTCCATCACATTATACACTAGCCTGACTCACCAAACCACCTCCATCACATTATACACTAGCCTGACTCACCACCACCTCCAGTCAACATTAACACTAGCCTGACTCAGCCTCACCAAACCACCTCCATCACATTATACACTAGCCTGACTCACCAAACCACCTCCATCACATTATACACTAGCCTGACTCACCAAACCACCTCCATCACATTATACACTAGCCTGACTCACCTAGCCTGACTCACCAAACGTGGTCCTCTGTAGCTCAGCTGGTTGAGCACGGCGCTTGTAACGCCAAGGTAGTGGGTTCGATCCCCGGGACCGGACCACACATACACAAAAAAAATGTATGCACGCATGACTGTAAGTCGCTTTGGATAAAAGCGTCTGCTAAATGGCATATTATTATTATTAAACCACCTCCATCACATTATACACTAGCCTGACTCACCAAACCATATGACTCATACCCCCTTCGTGATCTAACGCGTCTCCTTTTACCCCATTAACATGTACCTTAGAAAGTCTGGAGCTTTGGAGATCATGTTCTCAAAGTCAGAGAAGGAGAGCTTGCTGTCCCCGTCCAGGTCAGCCTCCTCCATGGCCTTGCTACAGACCAGGTTGACCTCTTCAGGGGTCAGCTCTCCTTTAGTCAGCCGGTTCAACGTCTTCTCCAGGTCCTCCTTACACAGGAAGTTATCCACGTTGAAATCTGACACACAGGAAGAGGAAGAGATTAAAAACAATGGGTGAAAGGAAAATTAAGAGATTAAAAAATGGTTTGATTGGCGCAGGACAGAATGGGTTGGAAGCAGTTTGCCGATGGCCTTTGTTCCACAAGGAATTCAAAAAGCCTAACTAAATAAGTAACTAAATAAGTAACTAAATAAGTAACTAACCAAGTAACTAAATAAGTAACTAACCAAGTAACTAAATAAGTAACTAACCAAGTAACTAAATAAGTAACTAAATAAGTAACTAGGTAAGCAAGATAAAACAGAGTAAGTACGAGTCAGATTCCTAGTTGTCATCATGGCTCTGGTGCTATGAGTACAGACAGACACTCAGACAGACAGACCTAAAGACAGACAGACAGAATAAACACACTCTCAGACAGTGACTCCATAGGAGACATACTAGTCTACTCGGTACTAACCATAGATTTTAAAAGCGTATATGGTCTTCAGTTCTCTTGGAGCTGTTTCACAGAGAGCTGAGAACATGTCTACAAAGTCGTTGAAGCTCAAGTTGCCTTGTCCGTCCTCAGAGAAGACTTCCACGATGCGGTTTCTGAAAGGGTTCTCCTGTATAGGTATGAAGGAGCACAGAGACAGGAACAGTCTGAGTCAGTACTGTATGCAGGGCATTATGGGTATCGTAGTAGATAATGAGTGAGTCAGTACTGTTACCGGGGCATTATGGGTATTGCAGTAGATCATGAGTGAGTCAGTACTGTTACCGGGGCATTATGGGTATTGTAGTACATCATGAGTGAGTCAGTACCGTATATGGGGCATTATGGGTATTGTAGTACATCATGCTACAGGTACTACTAAGACGAATATGGAGTCTCAACCATGACTGACATGCAAATCGATGTAAAGTGCTGTTTCCCATTCTACTGTGTCTGTGTCCCACTATGGCCGATCTTTATGAGGTCAGTAGGTGACAGAACAGCCCCAGACATCACACAGTGCAGATGCAAAGTTTGGTAACAGAATGACAGCACCAACAGCACAAACCGTCATTCTGTTACCAAACTCTGCATCTGCACTGTTCAAGTAAAGGTGTTTTTGTCAAAATCTTCTGTGGAAATTGTTAAAAGTAGTCCTTGTGCATAGAGTTGTACGGTTTGTTTAACTTTGCAATTTTAGTTTGACATACATTTTAAATTGAAAAATCTCAGCATCATTCTGTTAGTGGAATTGCCCTCAATCATCTTAAAAGCCTTTTAAAATCTAAAAGCACCAACTGGGGTCATTTTAGAACCCAAATTGGTAATGACAAGCAGCAACACTTTTAATTTGATTAACCTTTTGTAGCACAAGTAAATGGTTTAAATTCCCCAAAAGAAGCGTATATTTTTAACTTTTCACAGACTTATAGTCATAAATTGAAGTTTCAAAATAGACGTTTGTGTATGTGTTGATATTCTGATCAATTTCCCCCATCGCCAAATGTTATGAACATTTGTCTGCTATTAATTCAAAGTGTTGTGTTTCTGTGATACTCAAGAGGCTGAGAAATTGGCGACATCCCGGTACGACCTAAGATGGCCACCGATATGGGCGACATCCCGGTACGACCTAAGATGGCCACCGATATGGGCGACATCCCGGTACGACCTAAGATGGCCACCGATATGGGCGACATCCCGGTACGACCTAAGATGGCCACCGATATGGGGGACGGTGCCATCAGACCACTAGCTCATACTTTGGAACGCTATGGGCTATCAACTCAGTTCCAATTAAGTTTGACTTGGTATAGAGACATTGACTGGAAGCTAAATATGTATTTACATTTGAATAACATGTGTTCTTTTTTAGTTGTAGGTGCTGCCACGCCCCCCCCAGGGGCTAAATCTGGGGTGGCTCCACATCTATATATCTTCAGGGTACATACATCTACCTCTGTACCAAATGTGGTGCTTTTATCACAAAGTGCACTATTGAGTCAGCATTTACAGCTTCACTGCACCACTAGTATACAAAAGAGAGATTGTTTCATTCCTCCATATTAACACAGAAATCATGGTAAATGCTTTTTTTTTTTTGTCAGCAATTAGTTGCTTGACAAAGTCCTTTCAGAAAGATTTTTAAAAAAAGGGTCAACATTTACCCCTGTTGGCGCTTTGAAGGTTAACGCACACATGCATGTACACAGGCGCGCACACACACACACACACACACACACACACACACACACACACACACACACACACACACACACACACACACACACACACACACACACACACACAAACACACACACACACTACTCTATGTCCCATCCATTAGCTAGATCAGGGTACAGTACACAGCAGTGTCTCTGGGTCCTGTTCTAAATCAACCCACGGCATCCTGGAGGCTAGGTTAAGCTAGGCTAATTAATGCAGACATCTGTGCAGGTGAGGCGTCGATTTACGACCTGGTGGCCTTTGGGCGACCATTTTGGCTCTGCCTGTTGTCAGAGGACCATCATTCACCGCTGAACGGGCCCCCGGTCGCTGGGAGCTTTACGGCCCTGTTACTGGTACCGTGACTGTAGAGCTCTGGTCAAAAGTAGTGCACTATGTAGGGAATAGGGTGCCATTTGGGATGCAGTTCATGTCTCTAGTATGAATGGGTTACAGATCCTCCCTCTACACCCGTCCCCTCCCCATGGGGAACATGTTGGAGATGTTATAGCGCCATTAGAGGGTTCTGTGAAGTGACGTGTGAATGATCCCCAGAGGATGGAGGGGTGTTGTTCCGCCTATTGCCAGTGATTCGCTAGGCTCTGATGTTATCGGTATTGGAAAAGCCATACAATATTTGGTTACATAAAGACTGATTTATGCTCCCAACAGTATAATGAATGCTGCAACGGTAGCCCAACCAATATTCTACAGTATGTTTACTGAGCATTGTGTGATTACAGATCATGATTTATTAAAAGAAGAACTCAGACGACCAATCTGACTATTTTTCAAACGATGCAAGAAAAATAAAAGTGGCATGATTTCTTAAAACTCACATGAAAAATCTTATGTCACTGTTTTCTCTGTAAGTTGCTTGACTCAACAAAATCACCATAGACTGAGTCCCTGTTCTCTCTCTCCTCTGTTTAAATGACCCTGTCGGTCTTGACTCAACAATATCACCATAGACTGAGTCTCTGTACTCTCTCTCCTCTGTTTAAATGACCCTGTCGGTCTGTGCATGGGCTCTGGTGAGTGGGCTGTGCACTGCCTGGCTAGCTGGATGGAGGGATGGAGGGATGGAAGGATGGAAGGATGGAGGGATGGAGGGATGGAAGGATGGAGGGATGGAGGGATGGAGGGATGGAGGGATGGAAGGATGGAGGGATGGAGGGATGGAGGGATGGAGGGATGGAGGGATGGAAGGATGGAGGGATGGAGGGATGGAAGGGATGGAGGGATGGAGGGGATGGAAGGATGGAAGGATGGAGGATTGAGGGATGAGGATGGAGGGGAGGAGAGATGGAGGGATGGGAGGAGTGGAGGGATGGAAGGATGGAATGGGATGGGGATGAAGGATGGAGGGATGGGATGGGAATGGAGTTCATGGGGTGGAGCTGGATGGAGGTATTGGAAGGATGGAGGGATGATGGGATGGCGGATTGCTGGGTTGCGGTGAGGCGCTGGCGGTCTGATGTTGGATGCTGATGGTTGCGAGGTGCGATGGAGAGGGATGGGTGTACTGGTGGCTGGCGGGGATGAGATGAGGGAGGGGTAGTTAAGAGTGCGGAGTGTGGAGGGATGGGGGTTGGGGATGGAGGAGGGATGTGAGGCGGAGGGATGCGAGGCTGGTAGGATGGAGGATGTGGGCAGGGTGTGCGTAGATTGGCGGTCTGGTCGATGGGGGTCTGGTCGGGATGCGGTGATGGGGGTGCGAGGTTGGCGGGTGGCGTGATGGTAGGCGGGAGGTGCGGGCGCGGGTGGCGTGGCTTGGTGTGCGGGTCTTGGTTGGGGGTGTGCTGGAGGCTGGTTATGCGAGTGGAGGGTGGGGGATGGGGGTGCGGGTGCGGGGTGACGGGTCTGGCGTTTGGGTGTGGCTGGGGCTTGGGGGCTGGCTGGTGCTCGGTGTGCGGGGTCCGCGTCTTGATCTGCGGTGGGCTGGGTGTCGTGGGTGCTGGGTGCGGCTGGCTTACTGGCGGCTGTCGCCGTGGCGTGACTGCTGGGCTGTGGCTCGGTGGTCGCTGCGGCCGGATCTGGGATGCGACGTTGGATGCGCTATCGGCTGCTCTGACACGATCGCGTAGTGCACATGATCCTCTGTTACAGGCACTTCTATGCATACGGCTCATTGACGATCTAGGTATGTACGGCTGGCATGAGATACTGTAGGACTACAGGAAGATGCTTAACGAGTGCATCAGATGAACTCGTTAAGCAAATACTGCTCTCACCATGTTAACCAGCAACATCTACTGCTCCATATCACCTCCTGTTACCAAGCAACTATCTACTGCTCCATATCACCTCACTGCTTCCAATCACCTCCCTGTTAATAGACCACCAATCTTATGTCCATATCACCTCACTGTTACCAAGCAACTATCTACTGCTCATACCACCTCCTGTACCAAGCAATATCTACTGCACTCCAAACGTATCACCTCCCTGTTACCAAGCAACTATCACTGCACTCCATATCACTCCCTGTTAACAAGCAACGATCTACTGCCCATACACCTCCGGTTTACCAAGCAACTATCTATGCTCCATATCACCTCCCTGTTACCAAGAAATATATACTGCCTCCTACATATCACTCACTGTTACCAAGCAACTATCTACTGCTCCCATATCACCTCCCTGTTACAAGCAACTATCTACGGATCCATACAGTATCATCTCACTGCTTACCAAGCAACTATTTATTGCTCCATATCACCTCCCATGTTACCAAGCAGGAACTATTCTAATGGACCATTTCACCTCACTGTTACCAAGCAAGCTTGCTCCATACAGTATCACCTCCCTGTTGCAAGCAACTATCTACTGCTCCATACAGTATCACCTCACTGTTACCAAGCAACTATCTACTGCTCCATACAGTATCACCTCACTGTTACAAAGCAACTATCTACTGCTCCATATCACCTCCCTGTTACCTAGCAACTATCTACTGCTCCATATCACCTCACTGTTACCAAGCAACTATCTACTGCTCCATATCACCTCCCTGTTACCAAGCAACTATCTACTGCTCCATATCACCTCACTGTTACCAAGCAACTATCTACTGCTCCATATCACCTCACTGTTACCAAGCAACTATCTACTGCTCCATATCACCTCCCTGTTACAAAGCAACTATCTACTGCTCCATATCACCTCACTGTTACCAAGCAACTATCTACTGCTCCATACAGTATCATCTCACTGTTACCAAGCAACTATCTACTGCTCCATATCACCTCCCTGTTACCAAGCAACTATCTACTGCTCCATTTCACCTCACTGTTACCAAGCAACTATCTACTGCTCCATTTCACCTCACTGTTACCAAGCAACTATCTACTGCTCCATATCACCTCACTGTTACCAAGCAACTATCTACTGCTCCTTATCACCTCCCTGTTACCAAGCAACTATCTACTGCTCCATATCACCTCACTGTTACCAAGCAACTATCTACTGCTCCATATCACCTCACTGTTACCAAGCAACTATCTACTGCTCCATACAGTATCACCTCCCTGTTACCAAGCAACTATCTACTGCTCCATATCACCTCCCTGTTACCAAGCAACTATCTACTGCTCCATACAGTATCATCTCACTGTTACCAAGCAACTATCTACTGCTCCATACAGTATCACCTCCCTGTTACCAAGCAACTATCTACTGCTCTATATCACCTCCCTGTTACCAAGCAACTATCTACTGCTCCATATCACCTCCCTGTTACCAAGCAACTATCTACTGCTCCATATCACCTCACTGTTACCAAGCAACTATCTACTGCTCCATATCACCTCCCTGTTACCAAGCAACTATCTACTGCTCCATATCATCTCACTGTTACCAAGCAACTATCTACTGCTCCATACCACCTCACTGTTACCAAGCAACTATCTACTGCTCCATATCACCTTACTGGTTAAGCTTAATGTCTTACAATAACAGAGGGCTAAAGAGATTAGTTCTACATTAGATTTACCAGCTCATAAAACATACAGGTGGTGTGTATAAAATAGCCTAGCAGCCAGTCAGATAACTCAGAAGAATATATCATTTAACTCTGAACTTTAAGTTCATTTTAAGAGCTAAATATTTACACTTAACTGACATTAACAGAGCCTCACAAATGAGTATCAATATCACAACAACAAAAACCACGGAACGTCAGAACCACTTACCTTTAGTTCTGGCATGCTGACGATGAGTGCCAGGGGGAGTCTGATGTCAGGCTGGTTGGTGTAGTCCAGCGGAACTAGATGAGGAGCCAGCTCATGGAATCTCCCATGTAACCTAGACCACAGACAGGAGAAGGTTAGGAAACATCCACACGCATTAACCCTATGGATTGGCTCTTTTGTTTTACAAGGCAGGAGAAGTTTAGCCTGGTCCGAGGTATTTTTTTGTGCTGTCATGACGATGACCGTCGGAGTTAGCTGTACAGCATAAACAGATCTGGGACCAAGCTAGAGAAATGCAGAGCCATTATGGACATCACATGCAGCGGTATAGCATCAGTACAGTCGACACAATCGGTCATAAGTATATTCACATACAGTACATGGGGCTGCTTATCTTTTCCATTCATTTTGGATTGAAACGTACAGCTGTAGCTACACAACAGATGAGCTGGGAAGGTGGACTTTTCTCACACATTCCTGACACACATACCCACGGCTGCCATTTTGAAAACATCTTGACAAACTAATTTTACATTTACGTCATTTAGCAGACGCTCTTATCCAGAGCGACTTACAGTTAGTGAGTGCATACATTATTATATTTTTTCATACTGGCCCCCCGTGGGAATCGAACCCACAACCCTAGCGTTGCAAACGCCATGCTCTACCAACTGAGCTACATCCCTGCCGGCCATTCCCTCCCCTACCCTACCCTGAACGACACTGGGCCAATTGTGCACCGCCCCATGGGTCTCCCGGTCGCAGCCGGCTACGACAGAGCCTGGATTCGAACCAGGATCTCTAGTGGCACAGCTAGCACTGCGATGCAGTGCCTTAGACCACTGCGCCACTCGGGAGACTTTTGGAGCCAACTCGCTTTTAATTCTCTGAGGTGAGCACCCTGTACTGTCATGTAGCTGGGATGTTTAACCCTCGTACTACCAACATATTTTACATATTGCCAACTGGGGTCATTTTCACCCTGAGAAGAAACTATTGGACAAAGCAACAGTTCATTGCAAAACAAACAGTGCATTCAGAAAGTATTCAGACCCCTTGACTTTTTCCACATTTTGTTACGTTACAGCCTTATTCTAAAATGTATGACATTTAAAAAAAAATCCTCATTAATCTACAGACCAAACCCCATAATGACAAAGTGACAACAGATTTCTAGCATTGTTTGCAAATGTATAAAATAAAAAGACAGAAATATCTTATTTACATAAGTATTCAGACCCTTCGCTATGAGATTAGAAATTGAGCTCAGGTGCATCCTGTTTCCATTGATCATCCTTGAGATGTTTCTAAAACTTGATTGGAGTCCACCTGTGGTAAATTCAATTCATTGGACATGATTTGGAAAGGCACACACCTGTCTATATAAGGTCCCACAGTTGACAGTGCATGTCAGAGCAAAAACCAAGCCATGAGGTCGAAGGAATTGTCCGTAGAGCACCGAGACAGGATTGTGTCGAGGCACAGATCTCGGGAAGGGTACAAAAAATGTCTGCAGCATTGAAGGTCCCCAAAAACACAGTGGCCTCCTTCATTCTTAAATGGAAGAAGTTTTGAACCACCAAGACATTTCCTAGAGCTGGCCGCCCAGCTAAACTGAGCAATTGGGGGAGAAGGGCCTTGGTCAGGGAGGTAACCAAGAACCTGATGGAAACTCTGACAGAACTCCAGAGTTCCTCTGTGGAGATGGGAGAACCTTCCAGAAGGACAACCGTCTCTGCAGCACTCCACCAATCAGGCCTTTATGGTAGAGTGGCCAGACGGAAGCCACTCCTCAGTAAAAGGCACATGACAGCCCGCTTGGAGTTTGCCAAAAGGCACCTAAAGACTCTCAGACCATGAGAAACAAGATTCTCTGGTCTGATGAAACCAATGCCAAGCGTCACATCTGGATGGTGGTGGCAGCATCATGCTGTGGGGATGTTTTTCAGCAGCAGGGACTGGAAGACTAGTCAGGATCGAGGGAAAGATGAACGGAGCAAAGTACAGAGAGATCCTTGATGAAAACCTGCTCCAGAGTGCTCAGGACCTCAGACTGGGCCAAAGGTTCACCTTCTAACAGGACAACAACCTTAAGCACACAGCCAAGACAACGCAGGAGTGGCTTCAGGACAAGTCTCTGAATGTCCTTGAGTGGCCCAGCCAGAGCCCGGACTTGAACCCGATCATCCAAACTGACAGAGCTTGAGAGGATCTGCAGAGAAGAATGGGAGAAACTCCCCAAATACAGGTGTGCCAAGCTTGTAGCGTCATACCCAAGAAGACTCCAGGCTGTAAACGCTGTCAAAGGTGCTTCAACAATGTACTGAGTAAAGGGTCTGAATACTTATGGAAATGTCATATATCAGGGTTTAAATTTTTATACATTTGCAGACATTTCTAAAAACCTGTTTTTGCTTCGTCAGTATGGGGTTTTGTGTGTAGATTGATGAGGGGAAAAAACAATTTAATCCATTTTAGAATAAGGCTGTAACGTAACAAAATATGGAAAAAGTCAACTGGTCTGAATACATTGCGACTTATTTTAGTAATATGGCGCAGTGGTCTAAGGCACTGCATTGCAGTGCTAACTGTGCCACTAGAGATCCTGGTTCGAATCCAGGCTCTGTCGTAGCCGGCCGCGACCGGGAGACTCATGGGCGGCGCACAATTGGCCCAGCGTCGTCCAGGGTAGGGGACGGAATGGCCGGCAGGGATGTAGCTCAGTTGATAGAGCATGGCGTTTGCAACGCCAGGGTTGTGGGTTCGATTCCCACGGGGGGCCAGTATAAAAAAATATGTATTCGCTAACTGTAAGTCGCTCTGGATAAGAGCGTCTGCTAAATGACTAAAATGTAAAAAATGTAATATTAAAGTTCATTTGCATGTTCTGTAAAAACTAAAATATAAATATAGATTATGCCTTAAATAATGTACATATTTTTTTCAAGTACAATCTACATTAGTAGTAAAAAGCTGATTAACCATCAGTTGATTGTAATATAATTTAGTTTTTAGAATTTTGAAGTAAATATTAATTGTCATATTTATGTGGTAAAAAAACGACTGTACACAAAAATGTGAAACAATACTTTATTTTATTGACATACTTAATTTTATTGACATAAAGTGATTTGTCCATTTATCCTGAGTGACTCTGACCAAATAGATGGCTTAGTTGTCTTGATTTACTTCCCCCACAGCTAGCATTAGCATCGCTGCTAGTGAAACAATGGGATTGGTAGGGCCTATGGCAGGATGCTTTGAAAAGCCTGCCCAAAACCTCAAAGTCACTTCAATGCACTCACTAACTGTAAGTCGCTCTGGATAAGAGCGTCTGCTAAATGACTAAAATGTAAAATGTAAAAATGTAAAATATAATGTTATAGCAACCCAAATACCATAACAAGTTGTATATAGAATATTGGAGGATATCTCCAATAACATTTCCCATAGAATATCTTTCTGAGAATACACACCAATACAGCACTATGTGTCTATTCAAAGGGTAGCTGGTTTCTGTATTACAGTTATACCAAGTATTAATTCCACTGACAGGCTTTTATGAGCTGTTTTGACTGCAACTACGCATGTTTGTAAGGTAATTTAGATGTTGTACACGGTCATACCTAGTGATAACCAGTTATAACCATAGACGAGTACATAAGGTGCTCCAACTCTCCAGGTGATCTGTCTATCTGGTCTAAATCACTGATACAGGTCCTCCTTCCACCCTCTGGTGCTATGGATAACTTGTTATTAAGTCTCCAGAGAAACCTAGATTCAAATAAAGGTCTTATCTATGAAATTACTTTAGGCAGAATTAGGTGCTTTTGGCTGGGGTCAAAATTACCCCGAAGGACTTTAAAAAATATATATATATATTCATTTTTAGTCATTTAGCAGACGCTCTTATCCAGAGCGACTTACAGGAGCAATTAGGGTTAAGTGCCTTGCTCAAGGGCACATCGACAGATTTTTCACCTAGTCAGCTCGGGGATTAGACCCAGCGACCTTTCGGTTACTGGCACAACGCTCTTAACCACTAAGCTACCTGCCTTGAAGTCCATACTAATACAGAAAAAGTAAACAATGATTGAGATGTATTAATAACAAGTTGATTGACAAAGTCAAACATTTTTTGAAGAATTCAATAAGCTGCCTTTTGGCTATGATCAGAAATATGCTTCTTGGGTCAAAATGACCCCAATCGGCAGTATGAAGGTTTTAATGAGCTGTTTCATATATTAGGTTCAGAAAGCCACTTCACTAAATAAAAGCCTCTCTGCTTATATTCCCCAGTCATCAACGGTCCATTAGGAGAATGTATCTTCTGTCTTCAGAGCAGCGTGCGGCTAGGAAGGAGCTCCCTCTCTGTCCTGTGGAGATAGGGTAGGAATGGTACGCCACTGCACATCCATCTGGTGATCCACTCTCTATTGACTGCCTTAATAGCAGATTTGGTTCTGGGAGTCCAGCAGCGATGGCTGCACTGCCCATTATGGTCATCAGCTCTGATAGGAGGTACGGTCATCACTACTCACCTCCTTCATTTTACATTTTTAGTCATTTAGCAGACACTCTTATCCAGAGCGACTTACAGGAGCAATTAGGGTTAAGTTCCTTGCTCAAGGGCACATCTACAGATTTTTTCACTTAGTCGGCTCAGGGATTAGAACCGGCGACCTTTCGGTTACTGGGGACTACGCTCTTAACCACTAAGCTACACCTCGACACATCTCTCGACCCAGTGTCACACGGCAGAGACACGGGTACGGTAAATGACCATTAGGCCAGTGAGATGGCCCAAATAACAGCATGGAATCCAATTGAAGCTCTGTGGCTTCCATTCCCCATGGTGAAACAGAGCATGGTGGCTTCCATTCCCCATGGTGAAACAGAGCATGGTGGCTTCCATTCCCCATGGTGAAACAGAGCATGGTGGCTTCCATTCCCCATGGTGAAACAGAGCATGGTGGCTTCCATTCCCCATGGTGAAACAGAGCATGGTGGCTTCCATTCCCCATGGTGAAACAGAGCATGGTGGCTTCCATTCCCCATGGTGAAACAGAGCATGGTGGCTTCCATTCCCCATGGTGAAACAGAGCATGGTGGCTTCCATTCCCCATGGTGAAACAGAGCATGGTGGCTTCCATTCCCCATGGTGAAACAGAGCATGGTGGCTTCCATTCCCCATGGTGAAACAGAGCATGGTGGCTTCCATTCCCCATGGTGAAACAGAGCATGGTGGCTTCCATTCCCCATGGTGAAACAGAGCATGGTGGCTTCCATTCCCCATGGTGAAACAGAGCATGGTGGCTTCCATTCCCCATGGTGAAACAGAGCATGGTGGCTTCCATTCCCCATGGTGAAACAGAGCATGGTGGCTTCCATTCCCCATGGTGAAACAGAGCATGGTGGCTTCCATTCCCCATGGTGAAACAGAGCATGGTGGCTTCCATTCCCCATGGTGAAACAGAGCATGGTGGCTTCCATTCCCCATGGTGAAACAGAGCATGGTGGCTTCCATTCCCCGTGGTGAAACAGAGCATGGTGGCTTCCATTCCCCATGGTGAAACAGAGCATGGTGGCTTCCATTCCCCATGGTGAAACAGAGCATGGTGGCTTCCATTCCCCATGGTGAAACAGAGCATGGTGGCTTCCATTCCCCATGGTGAAACAGAGCATGGTGGCTTCCATTCCCCATGGTGAAACAGAGCATGGTGGCTTCCATTCCCCATGGTGAAACAGAGCGCTCTGTGGCTTCCATTCCCCATGGTGAAACAGAGCATGGTGGCTTCCATTCCCCATGGTGAAACAGAGCATGGTGGCTTCCATTCCCCATGGTGAAACAGAGCATGGTGGCTTCCATTCCCCATGGTGAAACAGAGCATGGTGGCTTCCATTCCCCATGGTGAAACAGAGCATGGTGGCTTCCATTCCCCATGGTGAAACAGAGCATGGTGGCTTCCATTCCCCATGGTGAAACAGAGCATGGTGGCTTCCATTCCCCATGGTGAAACAGAGCATGGTGGCTTCCATTCCCCATGGTGAAACAGAGCATGGTGGCTTCCATTCCCCATGGTGAAACAGAGCATGGTGGCTTCCATTCCCCATGGTGAAACAGAGCATGGTGGCTTCCATTCCCCATGGTGAAACAGAGCGCTCTGTGGCTTCCATTCCCCATGGTGAAACAGAGCATGGTGGCTTCCATTCCCCATGGTGAAAAACAGAGCATGGTGGCTTCCATTCCCCATGGTGAAACAGAGCATGGTGGCTTCCATTCCCCATGGTGAAACAGAGCATGGTGGCTTCCATTCCCCATGGTGAAACAGAGCATGGTGGCTTCCATTCCCCATGGTGAAACAGAGCATGGTGGCTTCCATTCCCCATGGTGAAACAGAGCATGGTGGCTTCCATTCCCCATGGTGAAACAGAGCATGGTGGCTTCCATTCCCCATGGTGAAACAGAGCATGGTGGCTTCCATTCCCCATGGTGAAACAGAGCATGGTGGCTTCCATTCCCCATGGTGAAACAGAGCATGGTGGCTTCCATTCCCCATGGTGAAACAGAGCATGGTGGCTTCCATTCCCCATGGTGAAACAGAGCATGGTGGCTTCCATTCCCCATGGTGAAACAGAGCATGTCAGTGAGGATACCCGTTTGGAAACCAGGTCACAAATAACAGGAAATCTACCCAATCCCATTGGCCCAGTGCGTACTCTATGCATGGGTAGCTGGGAGAAAAAAAATGACACAATATTGAGAAATATACCAAAGGTTTCCAGACAGACACCAGCAATAATTTCAGGGTCCTTTACCAAACAAGCTAATGCATTCCTCCATTTTACCATTCCACCTCCCCACCTCCACACAGGGCATTCCTCCATTCTACCATTCTACCTCCCCACCTCCACACAGGGCATTCCTCCATTCTACCATTCCACCTCCCCACCTCCACACAGGGCATTCCTCCATTCTACCTCCCCACCTCCACACAGGGCATTCCTCCATTCTACCATTCTACCTCCCCACCTCCACACAGGGCATTCCTCCATTCTACCATTCTACCTCCCCACCTCCACACAGGGCATTCCTCCATTTTACCATTCTACCTCCCCACCTCCACACAGGGCATTCCTCGATTTCTACCATTCTACCTCCCCACCTCCACACAGGGCATTCCTCCATTCTACCATTCTACCTCCCCACCTCCCCTTGTCCACATACTTTGACATATATAGTGTAGCATGCCTTCACTACTGGACACAGAAACATTAAAATAGTATCTACAAGTTCAACTGACTATGGGGAAGTACATAAAGGGCCTCATTGCCAAAAGTCCCGAAGTATCCCTTTAACCATAGCAGACAGACACTATCCGCACTCTGCAGGGGTGTGACTAGGACGTAGTGTTATGTACTAGGACGTAGTGTTATGTACTAGGACGTAGTGTTATGTACTAGGACGTAGTGTTATGTACTAGGACGTAGTGTTATGTACTAGGACGTAGTGTTATGTACTAGGACGTAGTGTTATGTACTAGGACGTAGTGTTATGTACTAGGACGTAGTGTTATGTACTAGGACGTAGTGTTATAATACATCTGCAGATGGAAGAAAATATAATATATATATATACTATGTCATGGGGAAAAGAAGCAGGTGTTCCTAATGTTTTGTACACTCAGTGTATATCCCAGGTGACTTCCATTCCAGTCTTGCGTCATGCATCCCAATAGGCATAAGGCGCTATAGTGAATAGGGTTTCATTTGGGGTGCAGACATAAACATTAAGACAATAGCAGATTTACCATGGGTCTATAACAGATTTACCATGGGTCTATAACAGATTTACCATGGGTCTATAACAGATTTACCATGGGTCTATAACAGATTTACCATGGGTCTATAACAGATTTACCATGGGTCTATAACAGATTTACCATGGGTCTATTTGGACATTGGTGGGGATTTGTCACTGGGGTTGTTAGCTGAAACGGCAGAGAGCTCTCTTGAAAAATGTTCCATTTACTGATGCTAGTGGTGCTGTAATAATGGGGTACACAGTGAAATAAATAACGGTTAATAATGACTAACTCTCCAGTGATAAATAACGGTTAATAATGACTAACTCTCCAGTGATAAATTGCCTGATGACCCCCCCCCCCCCCCCGTCTGTGAACAGTATTCACTGACAACCTTTAAAGGCACTGAAGGACACAGCGAGAGAGAAGCGCACGCACGTACGCACGCAGGCACGCACGCACCAGGGACGGCGTTACAGGCAGACCCTACCGTACCTCCTTGCCCGTCCAAATAAAACACTTCAGTATTCATACTTTTTTTTGACTGAGACGCGCACTGCCAGAAAGGTGCATCAATCGCAGATGAAGCATCCGAGTTAGCGAAACAGCGCCCCTCTTTCTCAGCATGTGTAGCCCATGTATATGACGCTGTCTGGCATGTCATTCTCTTTTTGGCCAGACAGCATCAGATGCATGGGCTACACATAGTGAGACAGAGGGGCGCTGTTTCGCTCGCTCTGATACTTTCGCCGGGTGAGATAGTTTCAGCCGTTTGTGAATTGAAGGAAAGTTGGCAAGTGCCAACAGTGTACTGTTCGGATGCTGGAATAATTTTGGATGAACGTACGAAGGTAAGCTAGTTTTTTTTAAGTGATTTGTTTGACAATCAGATCAAAACATCATGACTGGTTGTGTTCATGCAACATTAAAAGGTAATACATTTTTACAGTAAAATGACGTCTTTACTATAAAACCCATAGAAAATGACGCACATAGTAAGTCCCGTGACAAACCCCCCCCCCCCCCCCCCCCCCCCATGGAAATCAAATGCCCGTCCAACTGACTGTTCTGGCACCGGCCCTGGAGTCTGGAACTCCTCCTCCTCTCTCACCTTATGTCATCTCATCATGACTTTGTCCTTTGATTACCAACATTACTGAAATGGATCCCTATAAAAAATCTATCAGCGAGAAGAGAGAGAGAGAGAAGAGAGAGAGAGGGAGAGGGAGAGGGAGAGGGAGGGGGGGAGAGAGAGAGAGAGAGAGAGAGAGAGAGAGAGAGAGAGAGGTGTCACCCCTCTCCTCGTGATTCACACTACAGTTTGGTCTGATGCCGTTTTATTGGGTCATTTGTGGCACATTGCTGGCGATTGCAGCCATCCATCCATCTTGGTGACAGTCTGTGCGTCATACCTCTGACAACCAGGCTCAGTGGAACCTGAGGTGAGGTACATCCTGTCCTGGTATAACAGAAAGGATGTTGAGGTGAGGTACATCCTGTCCTGGTATAACAGAAAGGATGTTGAGGGGAGGTACATCCTGTCCTGCTATAACAGAAAGGATGTTGAGGTGAGGTACATCCTGTCCTGGTATAACAGAAAGGATGTTGAGGGGAGGTACATCCTGTCCTGGTATAACAGAAAGGATGTTGAGGGGAGGTACATCCTGTCCTGGTATAACAGAAAGGATGTTGAGGTGAGGTACATCCTGTCCTGGTATAACAGAAAGGATGTTGAGGTGAGGTACATCCTGTCCTGGTATAACAGAAAGGATGTTGAGGGGAGGTACATCCTGTCCTGCTATAACAGAAAGGATGTTGAGGTGAGGTACATCCTGTCCTGGTATAACAGAAAGGATGTTGAGGGGAGGTACATCCTGTCCTGGTATAACAGAAAGGATGTTGAGGGGAGGTACATCCTGTCCTGGTATAACAGAAAGGATGTTGAGGGGAGGTACATCCTGTCCTGGTATAACAGAAAGGAAGTGGCTCTCAGTTCGAACAGCAGCAGTTCAAGGGGAACCGAGGTGTACCAAATGTTATCACACCCAGAAATCAGACCATGGAGAAAGTGGAATCAAGGAGGAGGTTGTTTTAAATTAGACTAACTATTATTGGACACATGGATGAAATTGAATTGACTCTTGGATAGCTCATCTCTACTGTTTACCTGATACCGTAGTTGGAACACACATTCAAATTCAGTCAATTAAAGCACAAGGTGAGAAGCAGAACCGAGAGGTGTGGAGTCGACTCAAAAATAATCGCTTACTCATCTCCTTGACCACCAAGTGTCGAAAAGTCAACTCCAGAAATCATGGAGTGGTTCACCATAGCAGAACCAAGAGATGTGGAGTCGACTCCATAAATCCTGGAGTGGTTCACCATAGCAGAACCGAGAGGTGTGGAGTCGACTCCATAAATCCTGGAGTGGTTCACCATAGCAGAACCGAGAGGTGTGGAGTCGACTCCATAAATCCTGGAGTAGTTCACCATAGCAGAACCAAGAGATGTGGAGTCTACTCCATAAATCCTGGAGTGGTTCACCATAGCAGAACCAAGAGATGTGGAGTCGACTCCATAAATCCTGGAGTGGTTCACCGTAGCAGAACCAAGAGGTGTGGAGTCGACTCCATAAATCCTGGAGTGGTTCACCATAGCAGAACCGAGAGGTGTGGAGTCGACTCCATAAATCCTGGAGTGGTTCACCATAGCAGAACCGAGAGGTGTGGGAGTGTTATCAGAGCCAGAAATCAGAATCAGTGGAAAGGGGAGGGTGTTGTTGAGAGCAAACAATCCCTATTATGGGATGCATGGTTAAAAGGGGGTGGAATCAACTGACTATTGGATAGGTATGCCATGTTCACTTAATAACTTGAAATGATGAATGAATGTATGATGGATTCACCAACATGGTGATAAGGAATACTGTACTGTCTTGAGTTTATGACCTACTGATGGGTAACTATATATCAAGGAGTGAGCCGGGAGGAAAAATTTCCTTTTGTATGGTATAACAGAAAGGAAAAAAAATGTGAGGGAGGGTAAAACAATCATTGGTTCCTGGGGTATAAAACGGGGGGAAAGGATTTTGGGAGGGAAGGCCCCCCCCCCCCCCCCCCCCCCCCCCCCCCCCCCCAAAAAAAAAAAAAAAAAAAAAAAAAAAAAAAAAAAAAAAAAAAAAAAAAAAAAAAAAAAAAAAAAAAAAAAAAAAATTGGGAACAAAAGGGGAAAGAGAAGGGAGGGGGAAGACAAAAAAACGAAGGAAGGGGAGGGGGGAAGAAACGGGGAAGGGAAAGGGGAAAGGGGAGGTTTAAGGAAATTTGGGAACAAAAGGGAGGAAAAGGGGGAAAGGAAAGATTTGGACAAGAAAAAATGATTTCCAAAGGGGAAAGGGGAACCGTAAAAAGGTGAAAAGAGGGGGGTTCCTAAGGAGGTCCAAAAACGAGGGGGGGTGCTATTGGGGACGGGAGAGGGGGGGGTTAATTGGTGGAAAGGGGGAAAGGGAGGGGCACTTGGGGAAAAGGGGAGAGGGGGCTACTTGTGGAGGGAGGGAGGGAGGGGGCCTACTTTTGGGGGAAGAGAAGGGGAGGGGGGGCCATTAATGTGGAGGGAGAGGAGAGGGGTGGGGGTACTTGGGAGAAAGGAGGGCACTTTGGAGAGGGGGGGTCTTGGGGAGAGAAGGGAAAGGGGGTACTTGGGGGAGGAAGGGAGAGGGGGTGGGCATTTGGTGAGGAGAGGACATCTTGGGGAGGAGGGAGGAGGGGAAAAGGGGGGCTACTGGTGGAGGACGAGGGAGGGGGGAAACTGGGAGAGAGGAGGAAAAGGGGAGTTTACCGAGTGGAAAGGAAAGAGGGGAGGGAAAGGGGAAAAGAAGTGGTCGAAGAGAGAGAGGGGGGGCTATTTGGTGGAGGAGAGGGAGGGGAGGGGGGCACTTGGTGGAGGAGAAGGAGAGGGAGGGGGGCTACTGGTGGAGGAAGGGGGGGGGAGGGGGGGTACTTGGTGGAGGAGAGGGAGGGGGGCTACTTGGGTGGAGGAGAGGAGAGGGGGGGGGCTAATTTGGTGGAGGAGAGGGAGGGGGGTTATTTGGGTGGAGGAAAGAGGGAGAGGGGGGTACTTGGTGGAGAAGGAGGGGAGGGGGGGGATTTGGTGGAGGAGAGGAAAGGAGGGGGTACTTGGTGGAGGAGAGGGGAGGGGGGAGAGGAGGGGGGAGGGGGGGAGAGGGGGGGGGGTATTGGGGAGGAGGGAGAAGGGGGGCTGATGAGGAAGGGGGGAGGGGGGCTTGGAGGAGAGGGAGAGGGGGCTACTTGGGGAGGGAGAGGGGAGGGGGGGGGGTACTGGTGGAGGAGAGGAGAGGGGGGAGGGGAGGGGAGGGGGGCTATTGGTGGAGGAGGGGAGGGGGGGGGGCTACTGGGGAGGAGAGGGGAGGGAGGGGGGCTATTGGTGGAGGAGAGGGGGGGAGGGGGGCAATTGGTGGGAGGAGAGGGGAGGGGGGTACTTGGTGGAGGAGAGGGAGAGGGGGGGGGCTACTTGGGGGGGGAGGAGGGAGGGGGGCTATGGGGGAGGAGAGGGGAGGGGGGTACTTGGTGGAGGAGAGGAGAGGGGAGGGGGGCTATGGTGGAGGAGAGGGGAGGGGGGGGCTATTGGTGGAGGAGAGGAGAGGGGGGGGGCTACTTGGTGGAGGAGAGGGGAGGGGGCTACTTGGTGGAGGAGAGGGAGGGGGGTACTTGGTGGAGGAGAGGGAGGGGGGGGTATTGGGGAGGAGAGGGGAGGGGGGCTATTTGGTGGGGAGAGGGAGGGGGGGGGGCTACTTGGGTGGAGGAGAGGAGGGGGGAGGGGGGCTACTTGGTGGAGGAGAGGGGAGGGGGGGGCTACTTGGGGGGAGAGGAGAGGGGGGGGGGAGGTGGGGAGGGGGGAGGGGGGGGCTCTATGGTGGAGGAGAGGGGAGGGGGGGGCTACTTGGTGGAGGGAGAGGGGAGGGGGGGGGGGGCTACTTGGTGGAGGAGAGGGAGGGGGGGCTACTTGGGGGGGAGGAGAGGAGGGGGGGGGGGGGCTACTTGGTGGGGGGAGAGGGGGGGGCTACTTGGTGGAGGAGGGGGTGAGGGGCTACTTGGTGGAGGGAGAGGGGGGGGGGGGCTATTGGGGAGGGAGGGGGGGGGGGGCTATGGTAGGAGGGAGAGGGGGGGGGGGCATGGTGGAGGAGGGGGGGGGGCTACTTGGTGGGGGGAGAGGGAGGGGGCGGGGGGTATTGGTGGAGGGGGAGGGGGAGGGGGGCGGGCTACTTGGTGGAGGAGAGGGGAGGGGGGCTACTTGGTGGAGGAGAGGGAGGGGAGGGGGAGGGGAGGAGAGGGGAGGGGGGCTATTGGTGAGAGAGGGGGGAGGGGTACTTGGGGAGGGGGGGGGGGGCTATTGGTGGAGGAGAGGGAGGGTAGGGGGGGTTTGGGGGGAAGGAGAGGGGGGGGGGACTTGGTGGAGAGGGAGGGGGGCTTTGTGGAGGGGAGGGGGGGGCTATTGGTGGAGGAGAGGGGGGGATTGGGGAGGGGAGGGGGGGGGCTACTTGGTGGAGGAGAGGGGGGGGAGGGGGGGGCTACTTGGTGGAGAGAGGAGGGGGCTAGGGGGGGGGGGGTACTGTGGTGAGGAGAGGGGAGGGGGTACTTGGTGGAGGAGGGGGAGGGGGGGGGGGAGGGGGGGAAAGGGGAGGGGGTGGAGGAGAGGAGAGGGGGGCTACTTGGTGGAGGGAGGGGGGGGGGGAGGGAGGGAGGGGAGGGGGGACTTGGGGGAGGAGAGGAGGGGGGGTAGGGGGGAAAGGGGGGAGGGGGGCAGGGAGGAGAGGGGAGGGGAGGGGGCCTGGGAGGAGAGGGAGGGGGGGGCTATTGGTGGAGGAGAGGGGGGGGGGGATTGGGAGAGGGGGGAGGGGGGGGGGTACTTGGGGAGGAGAGGGAGGGGGGGAGGGAGGAGAGGGGGGGGAAATGGGTGGAGGAGAGGGAGGGGAGGGGGGCTATGGGGAGGAGAGGGGAGGGGGGGGGGCTACTGGGGGAAAGGAGAGGGGAGGGAGGGGGGCTATGGTGGGGGAGGGGAGGGGGAGGGGAGGGGAGGGGGGGGGGGAGGGGGGAGGGAGGAGAGGGAGGGGAGGGGGGGGCTCTGGGTGGAGGAGAGGAGAGGGGGGTATGGGTGGAGGAGAGGGGGGGAGGGGGGATTTGGTGGAGGAGGGGAGGGGGGGGCTACTTGGGGAGGAGAGGAGGGGGGGGGCACTTGGTGGAGGAGAGGGGGGGGCTATTGGGGAGGAGAGGAGAGGGGAGGGGGGCTACTGGTGAGGAGGAGGGGAGGGAGGGGGGCTACTGGTGGAGGAGAGGAGGGGGAGGGGGGCTACTTGGTAGGAGGGAGAGGGGAGGGGGGCACTTGGGGAGGAGAGGAGAGGGGAGGGGGGCTACTTGGTGGAGGAGAGGAGAGGGGAGGGGGGGCTATTGGTGGGGAGGAGAAGGAGAGGGGGGCACTGGGGGGGGA